ACTAGATCAGTCGTTCGTGTGATTCCTGTATGAGCTACCTGGTGACACTCCTGTATCATCTTATGCCGCAAGTTCTTCGGAATCACTGCTACCCAATTTTCATCATCATCTCGCCAGATCAGGGCGCCATATGTGCTAATCCTCAGTCTTCCTTTTGTCGAAGCACCATTAATACCTCGTTGTTCATCTGCCGTTCGTCAATATCTGCCCCTTCTTTTATCACTCTGATCACCTCTCGAAGGTTTGGGTCAGCCCTTTTGCTGCCGGACAAGTTCTAGTGGGTCTCCGTCAAGGCTATTCACTGCTTATGCTGTCATTGGGAGCTCAGCATCCATCTCCGGCCTCGATAAGTAGTCCGCCACTAAATTTTCTCTTCCTGGAACGTGGCCGATACTGAAGTCGTACTCCTGCAGACGTATCATCCATCGCGCCAACTTACCACGGGGGTCTTTTGCTGTTTTCAGCCACTGAGGGGGTTTATGATCAGTCTCGACGTGGAACTGTCTACCTAGCAGGTATGGCCTCTATTTTTCTATTGCCCAGACAATCGCTAAACACTCTTTTTCGATCGTTGAACACTGAGTTAGATTATTGAAAACGTATCTTATTGGATTGCGGATGAATAATTTCATGGCATTATGCTCATTCAGAAACTGTACTGTCCATTATTTATGTCCGGTTTAGGATGATCGTTAATTATCTCTGAGATGTTTGTCATATCAGGATGAAAGAAATATTCTTTAACAAGAAACACTTGAACGTAACCTGCTTGATTAATTATTATATTTAGTTTATTTTTAACTTCTAATTTATGTCTAATTTATTAGGGATCGTTTTACATTAAGGGCTTTCAAGAGCGGAGCTAATCCTCAAAATACCCTTCATAAAAAGGCCGTGCGTGACCGGCCTCAAGCAGTTGTCCCTTGGGCTCTGCGGTCATGCAACCAGGTCTCTAAGACCAACGCTAATATACCTTCCTTTTCAGGTTCCTCAAGAAACAACCTTCCCCGGTGTGTGCAGACGCGAAGTTATATCCGCCCTCATACCCATAAAAACACACTAGACCAAATTGGTCACAATCAAATCCTTTCTACACCTGATAATTCTCTTATCTCCTCGACCAACCCTTCTTTCGATGATGATGAAACACTCGTTTTTAGATGAACGTTTTGTCCAAATCCTTCACTAGTATAATCGATAAGTTAGGAGAGGAATGATGTGATATTTATCTAAAAGATTATGTTAATTTTGACCCAGTACAAATTGATATCGAAATAAAAACCAGTCATTAAGAAACTGATACCGTACCCTCAAATTTACGAAAACCTGTTACCATCGGTCATACTTATGATGTTTACAGCATATTGATCGCCAATTACTACAAAATTTGGTGACCACAGGTTCTCCGTATTGTGAAGCTAAGCTACAATAAAACAACTATTCAGTGTTTTATAATTCTTTGATTTTGTTCCCAGATGATATCAATCCATAAAAACTAACTTTTTATTGAAAATACCTCGATCAAATCACTTAAATTTGTTATCTAGGATAGTGGAAATCCTGGAACCGTATTTTTTTCCTATCGCAGACATGTCATTTGAATGTATGGACATGTCAGTAATGAGTAGTTCACAAAACACCACTAGACTATTTAGAAATGATAGACATCACCTGTTTAACAAAGAATATCTGTTGGTGATTATTCAACATGTGGAAAGAAAAACCCATATCTGATAATCAAACAGAAACTAGAAATGGAAACCCAGGACAGAGTTGGTTGGAGAAAACTGGTGGGCGGCCTATGCTCCATTAGGGGTAACACGCTTGAGTAAAGTTAATAAGATAATCAAACAGACTACTAAACAAACCTAGAAGAGCTGAACTACGGTATTTCGTCGTTTATTCATCCTATCATGAAAGTTGATTGTATTTCGACTGTGAAAATTCGCCGAATTTCACACACTGATTACATATATTACGAAAAGTATGTTTTCTATTAAACACTAGCAACATCATTTTTACTACGATAGTTTACTATCAAACATCGACATAAATATATTGTTTTGTAAACTTTGAGAGTGATACGCTTTATATGTTGGTGAATACTCTACTTCCGAACTAATTGCCAAGGAAGTTTTGTAAACCTACGACAACTGCAAATTAAATTTGGCTTCTTGTAAAATTGTTATTTCGGTAATTGGTTATCTAGTCACATCTACTAAGCATCTCCCATAAGTAGTAACAGAACATATATTTACAGTATTCGTGTTTTTGAATTGTTTGGTTATGAGTTAGAGAACAACAATACAAGGAAGTGAAAATTTGAGTTGTATTGCCTATTTAGTAAGTCCTTTTAATCACAAGTCTATCATACTGTACTTTATAGCTGGTTATATTTCAAGATACAATACTTCCTGAATAATATCTTTGAACCTTAATCTCTTCCCTTATTGTTGAGAGGTTAGATCCCCAGTTCTCATTGGATAAAGGTCCTAATTTTTGATTTTGTGTTTTCGAGCATGGGCTAATCAGTTGACCGTGAGATTACATTTCCCACCCAGATAATCCTTGACTGTCATTGGTTGATGGATTATTTTAGTACGCTATTTTGTGACTGTTCCAAGGATGTTTCTATCATGTATAAATAAACTCGATTCATGTGCTTGTGGACCTCATATTTTCTGGGTGGTTGTAGAATACACTTTCTACGCCTTGTCAAGACTTCTTCCTCTACTTAGTGGGACCTTGGGACTCTCGTCCTAGCCTATCGTGTCACTGGATCATTTTTCTTCGCTCTCGTTTACCGACTAAGGTGAACTCGTAATAGTTTCAAGCATAACAATTACCGATAATACTCCTACTACCTTCACCACTATGAAATTTAAATTGACAATTCAATCTCTGTGTGCTAAAGCGATAATGGTAACTTGAACTGATATGCGTATCTACGAAGTTCTCTATTGTAGCTGACTGACTGACTGTTTGAAGAGAAAAATCTCATGTATTTAAACATGAAGAAAATCATTGTTAGTTTTAATATTAAATAAAAATTGACTAGTTAAGCTACAGAGGTATAACCAATTCCAGTCTTTAAACCATATAACCATTTACTAAAAGTGTCAACGTATGTTCTGAAACCTGAACTAATATACTGATATTTGACCAATAGCTGATAAGTCTAGTCCATAAACACGATGTATATTGATTGTACAGTTTTTATTTCAAAACAAAGTATTACTGTGTACATATGTTTATAAATTAGAGTCTATTCATAAACAAAATAGATTCCAGAGCATATATATATATATATATATATATATATATATATATACAAAATAATACAAATGGAAATTTATTCATCGAATATAATATGCTTAGAATTGTTAGTCTTATTACTACTCCTACTACTACTAGGAGGTATAAAATTATTGAATGATGTAGGAGTGGGATTGGAAGATTTTTGTTTTTGACGTTTTTTTAATTGTGAAGTACGATGACGTTCTCTAGCATTCACTCGAGACTTGACAATATTATCACAGTATGCTTGTTCACTTGAGCCTTCAAGAATACGTGCTGTTACACCATGAATTGTTGTAGAACAATCAATAGAGTGTAGTAATCTTAGAGCAGCGTCATTATTTTTCATTCGAATAAAAAGTGGAATGAAATCAACTGAGGAGGAGGAGGAGAGTGGTGGTGATGAATTCATGCCCATTAGAAGTTGGTATGATACTACATCCAAATTGATTAACAGAATCTAATAGAATTTGATTAGGATTTGGATCAACATGAGCAACATCGTTGAGAAGATTATGTGGAACAAGAAGATTCTTTTCTAGACTAATACGTAACAAACGAGCAAATGATAATTTCTTTGGTGTGATTAATGTATCACAAAGATTATCCGATAAAGGTGTATTTGTTGAATTTCCTTTGGGAATCAATGCTGAAGGCCAGTATATCTAAAAAGAAATTGAAGTGACATATAGAGTAGTTCATTATTATAGGAGTATTCATTAAATGAACTTTCGCATAAAACAGGTTGCCACACCACATTAGCACAGAGACGCAAATGCCAAATCAAATCCCATAGTGATAGAGATAGTTCAGATATTAAGGGTAATGAAGAAGACTAGGGTTTGAAGATATTATTCAAAAAATATAATTCAGTGAGATAAGGTTAGAAAGACAAAGGTAGAGGTGCTAACGAATCCAGAAGATTAGGATTTGAGGGAGCTCAATGAATGGATGCATTTGAGCCATTGCAAAGGATTTTGAGTCAAGGTCTCTAACCATCGGTGACTATAGTCTCGCAGACCCCAACCAGGTAGTCTACATCTACTATCATGATTCAGTTCACTTGTCAGTGACTTCATGGATTTCTGCCATGTTTTGGTCTGGCCGCCCCTAACTTTCTTCCAATCTACTCCTACACTGCAAAACATAGCTCGTCGAGGCAGTCGGTGGTTAGCCATACATAACACATGTCCCAACCACCTCAACTGATGAAGTTTCAGCACTTCATCTATTGATTTGCCATCCTTACCTAGCACTCGTTTCCTAACGACAGCATTGCTTACTTGGTTGTCCGACGATATACGATATAAGACATTTATGATAGAATACTAGTAACCTACGAACATCTACTCTTCACGGCCATGTTAGCATAGTATCATGGTTATCCTCAAATACGAGGTTAGTTAAACTGGACGAAAACAATTGTAATGAGTACCCAGTTGTTTTTCATCATTCTGATAGTAATCAAACTCAACACAATACATCAACATAAAAAAGACAGCCCACCTGAAACAATGGAATTTGGAACAAAATTATTAGGAAGAGTTTTTGGTTTAGTTGAAGATTCATCTGAACAGTTTTTCATTGGCAATAGATTTTGATTCATATCAGAATCCATGCAATAAGATTCATTCTCTTCTATTATACTGGCAATCTCATGAGAATGAATGTTATCATTACTAATATTATTATTATTATTAAGCATTAATTCAGTTTTACGATGCATTCTAACAATCCATGCTTGTTGCCATAAATAAAATTTTTGTTTCCAAAATAACCAATCCGAATAACGAAATACACGTAGTTTAGATTGACATAGTTCATAATTACGATTATTTTTAACATAATTAAGTATAGCTTCTGTAGAATTATTTCCAAGTATAATTGAATAATCTAATTTGAAGAGAATAAAAAAGTACAATGAACAAAGCAGAATACAGTTAATAGAACAAATTTATATTGGTGAACAGTGAAGTGCACTAGTCATTTGTAATTTAACAACATTACCTACTATATATATGGATTGAAGAACAGACTTTAATCCATGTATAGAGAGACAGACAGACAGATACAACACAGAACTTCGTAAGTACGTACATCGGTTCATGGTAGCAACCAAATCAGCACAGAGACGCAACTGTCAATTCAAATCCAAGAGTGATAGCAGTAATAGAAGTATTAGCAGTAATGGAGAAGATTAGGGATCGAAGATATGATTCGAGAAGTATAATTCAGTAAGATAAATTTAGAAGGAGAAAGATAGAGATTATGAGGAATACAGAAGCTTAGAATTTCATAGAACACAAAGAGTGGATGCACCTGCGCCATCGCAAACGATTTTGAGCCATGTCATTCAAGGTCTCTAACCATCGGTGACTATCGTCTCGCGGACCCCAACCAGGTAGCCTACATCTACCAACATGACTCAGTCCACTTGTCAGTGTCTTCATGCATTTCTGCCACATTTTGGATTGGCCACCCCTAGCTTTCTTCCAATCTACTCCTACACTGCAAAACATAGCTCGTCGAGGCAGTCGGTGGTTAGGCATACGTCACACATGTCCCAACCAGTTCAACTGGTTGAGTTTCAATACTTCATCAAATCATCTGCCATTCTTTCCTAGCATCCGTTTCCTAACAACAGGATTGTCTACTCGATAGTCCCAAGATAAATGAGCAATGCTTAGGAGACATCTATGATCGAAGACAAGCAATCTACGAGTATTCTCTACTCTCACCGGCCAAGTTTTACATCCATATAGTAGGACGGAGCGAACTGCTGCCCAGTACGCTCGTCCTTTGGTTAGCAAACGGATATCTCGCCTGTGCCATAAGTGACGTGATTTGGCGAAAGCCAGTCGAGCCTTCTGTATCCGAGCTGAGATTTCGTCAGTCACCAGCCAGGTCATCAGCACTGATGAGACTCCCAAGATAAGTGGAGCGGTCTACACGTTCGACTACTTCACTCCCTATCACTAGTTCAGGTGCCGATGAAACCCAGTCTTGAAGCAACATTTTGCATTTCGAGGGTGAGAAGCGCATCCCGAATATGCTTACATTGTTTCTTAGCGTGATCAGAAGACTCTGTATTTTGTCAGCGTCTTCACCAAGTAGGACTATGTTATCGACATATTCTAAGTCGATAAGCGAGCAATCCATGTATATTTGATTAGAATAACTTCAGACTATAAAGTATATTAAATTCTTTTCTTTAAAGAAAGAAACTTAGAAATAAACTAAATATCTTATAAATTTCACTTTTCAATAACAGAAGTAGTAATAACTGTTTTTCTTGTACAGAAATCTAAAACATGTACTAGTTTATAATGAATATTAAGATTTTAATTATATACTTCGAAAAAATACACAAAAATATTTCAACTTACATTCCCTATCACATGGATTACTAGCAGTATATCCGGCCTGACGTAAATGTCTGAATGCTGTGATAAGTTGTTTATTCTTTCGAGAACAACAACGCCAAATATACCTTCGCGCTAACATTTGTTTCAATGAAAAAGAAACTTTGGCTGCAAGTCGTGGTTTCCATGCTGCATCTGGACAATCGGATGCTTCAGATGTCTCTAATGAAGAAATTAAACGAGGAATGAGAAAACTGAAAGACATGAAAAAGAAACTTGATATTGCAAAACTAAAAGTCATACTATATTCAAACAAAGATTAGGGCAGTATAGTAACGTAAAATTAATCTATGGATTACTACTATTGTACATTGTGAATTACTTAGATTGTCAAGTATATATATATATATATATATATATATATATATATATATATATATATATATATATATTCCCTTTTATCAAAAGCTTTCCATCAACTCATGTTCGGCGTCATACTACTTACTAAGTGACTAGCTTCGCGAGGAAATTCTCAGAGCTAGTGAGTATATGTGAACAATGGAGTTCAATCCTGTCGCGTTTAGGCAGTAAATTCCAAAGACACATGAGTGAGGTCGCGTAGAATCTCTAGATCAATCAGAGTTAGAAATTAACACTGTTGGATACCGGTCTAGTGGTCCAGAGGTTAGGCGCTCACGCACAATACCGAAGGTCCGGAGTTCGAATCCTGCGAGATGCAGGCGTTGTGGATGCGCACTGCTGATGAGTCCCATAAAGGGACGAAAAGTCCGTGCAGTGCTTCCAGTTTTTCAATGGTGGTCTAACAATGAATGATTCATAGTTTCAATGTGTAAAAACAGTAATATCCATAACTCTAATTGAAAATATTCCTATCTTGTTGATAGTTTATTACTTAAGACTTCCTTATTCACAGCCGCTTTTATATTTATTAGTGCGATGTGGTCTGATCTTGTATGTATAAAAAGGAATGTTTGAAATATAGTAACGATCTTGGGCAGGTGGTCACTGAAAGTCATAACTGGAAAACACGATTGTTTTTTAACGATATTTACTGAAAATAAACGATATCACATTATTTATACACAACTTTGGGACGGAGGGTGAGTGGAAGCAGTTAACAAAATATTATAGACGTAAGTTTCGAGCTGTCTGACCCTCATCAGTAAGATGTAACAGTAATCTTTAGAGAGTTGATGCTCTTCTGGCGGACTAGTTCTCATATGCTCCTAAATTAAATGTTCACTGACAGGTTGTGTTGTTTTTATACTGAACTTGCAAACATATTTCTCTGCCTAAGCAACGGAGAAATTGAATCAGATCTGAGAGCAGTTATTGCACCGAAATAAAAAGACAATTTTTGGGTAAAACTGAGAATGACTATTTAAAATGATAGTTAGTGATACAAATTAAGAAAAAAAACTAGTTACCTGTAGGTTGTACAAGCCATTGTTCATTTTCAACAACAAGACACATGTGTTTAACAGCTTTTCTAGCAGATTTAGATGTTTTGAATTCAACAAAAGCAAATCCTCGAAATGAATTGGAGTGATGATAGCTAAAATTAATACAACTTTATGTTATTTGAATAATTCACTAGTATTTGTGTGACGCGAAAAATATTTAGGCACCACTTTCAACCAATGTTAACGTTTAAATGAACAGAAACTGTAAGCTAATTGATTTAGTGCTACAGTATGTCAAATAGGGTTTTGAATGGCTAAAAGCAGTCGGTCTGAGAGGATCATTACTTTCATCTGAAATATCTCAGGATCACTATTTTTAATGATAACAAAGAGGTGCAGTGGTTCACAGCTCTGAATAAAGCATCAATGTCTTTGAAATGCTTAACACCATTTCGCTGATAAATATTAACAAGCGACAGAGCCTACTCTAGCGCTTCAATTACACTAATCTCATGCGGCAATATTATAAACTACAATGATGAGCAATGTAGATCAATATTTTATATGTAAAACCTGAATCAGTGTGTGATTGAATGAGAATAAGTTCTCAAACTGCCTCATAAATAGTAAACAAATATATTTAAACACCTATAATGGTCATATGTACAATCATATTACCTACCAATGAGTAAACTTTCTGAAGCACGAGATAAGCTTTAAACCTCACAAAATATTGCACCAATTTTAGGTTGGCACATTTTACTGTAACATAGGAAAGAATCAACAAAGATGAACGGAGAGTTAACCAATAAACTGTACTGTATTTATCTGGGATCTGGAGATAGTTTACTCATATCCGTTTTAGACACTTTTTCAGTAAGGGAATTAAAATAGTTCTGAGATGCTGATAAAGTAGTCAGCTGGGCTAATGAGGTTTCTAGAAATTTAAGGTCCTATAAATGTTTGATAACATACGTGTCCAGATCAAGAATAAAGTTCCCAGATTGGTTTTGACATATATATATATGATTGTACAGCTTGGTAATAAAGGTGTTAAAAATAGACCACTTCACTGAACTTCATGTCTTTAGTGTTTAAATGGGGATTAAATGTCTAATTACAAATAAAACCAAGAACCTGAACCTATTTGTGTTATACTGAACAGGTTAATAGGGATAGGAGTGAAAAGTTTATGAAAACTTACCGTGGCAAACTGACATATAAAACTTCACCATATTCTTCAAATATATTTCGTATCCAGTCACTGAGTTCCCAACTTACTGAGCTCATGTTTTTCAGCTTATTCTCATTTGGTTTTGAATTGTGACTAGAAGTGTTATTCTCATCTACGTCTTCAGTTATCTCGATATACAAACGTGGAAGTTCTGTAACTAGGATTGTTCGTTTCTCACGAGGTCCCAATTCAGATAAAGGAAACATTCGGACAATAGCCAACCCTGGTATGATCAAAACATAAAAGCATAACACTTCAAGTTAACCTCAACGGAAGTAAGGTATTAAAACTGTACGTACGTACAGTTTTAATACCTTACTTCCGTTGAGGTTAACTTGAAGTGTTATGCTTTTATGTTTTGATCATACCAGGTTTGGCTATTGTCCGAATGTTTCCTTTATCTGAATTGGGACCTCGTGAGAAACGAACAATCCTAGTTACAGAACTTCCACGTTTGTATATCGAGATAACTGAAGACGTAGATGAGAATAACACTTCTAGTCACAATTCAAAACCAAATGAGAATAAGCTGAAAAACATGAGCTCAGTAAGTTGGAACTCAGTGACTGGATACGAAATATATTTGAAGAATATGGTGAAGTTTTATATGTCAGTTTGCCACGGTAAGTTTTCATAACTTTTCACTCCTATCCCTATTAAACCTGTTCAGTATAACACAAATAGGTTCAGGTTCTTGGTTTTATTTGTAATTAGACATTTAATCCCCATTTAAACACTAAAGACATGAAGTTCAGTGAAGTGGTCTATTTTTAACACCTTTATTACCAAGCTGTACAATCATATATATATATGTCAAAACCAATCTGGGAACTTTATTCTTGATCATGGACACGTATGTTATCAACATTTATAGGACCTTAAATTTCTAGAAACCTCATTAGCCCAGCTGACTACTTTATCAGCATCTCAGAACTATTTTAATTCCCTTACTGAAAAAGTGTCTAAAACGGATATGAGTAAACTATCTCCAGATCCCAGATAAATACAGTACAGTTTATTGGTTAACTCTCCGTTCATCTTTGTTGATTCTTTCCTATGTTACAGTAAAATGTTGCCAACCTAAAATTGGTGCAATATTTTGTGAGGTTTTAAAGCTTATCTCGTGCTTCAGAAAGTTTACTCATTGGTAGGTAATATGATTGTACATATGACCATTATAGGTGTTTAAATATATTTGTTTACTATTTATGAGCAAGTTTTGAGAACTTTATTCTCATTCAATCACACACTGATTCAGGTTTTACATATAAAATATTGATCTACATTGCTCATCATTGTAGTTTATAATATTGCCGCATGAGATTAGTGTAATTGAAGCGCTAGAGTAGGCTCTGTCGCTGGTTAATATTTATCAGCGAAATCGGTGTTAAGCATTTCAAAGACATTGATGCTTTATTCAGAGCTGTGAACCACTGCACTTCTTTGTTATAATTAAAAATAGTGATCCTGAGATATTTCAGATGAAAGTAATGGTCCTCTCAGACCGACCGCTTTTAGCCATTCAAAACCATATTGACATACTGTAGCACTAAATCAATTAGCCTAGAGTTTTTATACATTTAAACGTTAACATTGGGTGAAAGTGGTGCCTAAATATTTTTCGGGGGCGTCACAAATACCAGTGAATTATTCAACATAACATAAAGTTGTATTAATTTTAGCTATCACCACTCCAATTCATTTCGAGGATTTGCTTTTGTTTGAATTCAAAACATCTAAATCTGCTAGAAAAAGCTGTTAAACACATGTGTCTTGTTGTTTGAAAATTGAACAATGGCTTGTACAACCTACAGGTAACTAGTTTTTTTCTTACTTTGTATCAGTAACTATCGTTTTAAATAGTTATTCTTTCTCAATTTTACCAGAAATTGTCTTTTTATTTCGGTGCAATAACTGCTCTCAAATCTGATTCAATTTCTCCGTTGCTTAGGCAGAGAAATATGTTTGCAAGTTCAGTATAAAAACAACACAACCTGTCAGTGAACATTTAATTTAGGAGCATATGAGAACTAGTCCGCCAGAAGAGCATCAACTCTCTAAAGATTACTGTTACATCTTACTGATGAGGGTCAGACAGCTCGAAACTTACGTCTATAATATTTTGTTAACTGCTTCCACTCACCCTCCGTCCCAAAGTTGTGTATAATAATGTGATATCGTTTATTTTCAGTAAATATCGTTAAAAACAATCGTGTTTTCCAGTTATGACATTTCAGTGACCACCTGCCCAAGATCGTTACTATATTTCAAACATTCCTTTTTATACATACAAGATCAGACCACATCGCACTAATAAATATAAAAGCGGCTGTGAATAAGGAAGTCTTAAGTATAAACTATCAACAAGATGATAGGAATATTTTTCAATTAGAGTTATGGATATTAATGTTTTTACACATTGAAAATTATGTAATCAGTCATTGTTAGACCACCATTCAAACCTGGAAGCACTGGACGTCTTTTCGTCCTGGTATGGGACTCATCAGCAGTGCGCATCCACAACTGCTGCACTCGCAGGATTCGAACTCCGGACCTTCGGTATGTGCGTGAGCGCCTAACCTCTGGACCACTGCGCCGGTATTCAACGGTGTTAATTATTCTAACTCTGATTGATCTAGGGATTTGCGCGACCTCACCCATTTGTGTTTGATAGTTACTGCCTACACCGACAGGATTGAACTCCATTGTTCACATATACTCACTAGAACTCTGAGAATTTCCCTCGCGAAGCTAGTCACTTAGTAAGTAGTATGACGCCGAACATGAGTTTGATGGAAAGCTTTTGATAAAAGGGAATATATATATATATATATATATATATATATATATATAATATATATATATATATACTTGACAATCTAAGTAATTCACAATGTACAATAGTAGTAATCCATAGATTACTTTACGTTACTATACTGCCCTAATCTTTGTTTGAATATAGTATGACTTTTAGTTTTGCAATATCAAGTTTCTTTTTTCATGTCTTTCAGTTTTCTCCATTCCTCGTTTAATTTCTTCATTAGAGACATACTGAAGCATCCGATTGTCCAGATGCAGCATGGAAACCACGACTTGCAGCCAAAGTTTCTTTTTCATTGAAACAAATGTTAGCGCGAAAGGTATATTTGGCGGTGTTGTTCTCGAAAGAATAAACAACTTATCACAGCATTCAGACATTTACGTCAGGCGGATATACTGCTAGTAATCCATGTGATAGGGAATGTAAGTTGAAATATTTTTGTGTATTTTTTCGAAGTATATAATTAAAATCTTAATATTCATTATAAACTAGTACATGTTTTAGATTTCTGTACAAGAAAAAACAGTTATTACTACTTCTGTTATTGAATGAAATTTATAAGATATTTAGTTTATTTCTAAGTTTCTTTCTTTAAAGAAAAGAATTTAATATACTTTATAGTCTGAAGTTATTCTAATCAAATATACATGGATTGCTCGCTTATCGACTTAGAGTATGCCGATGACATAGTCCTACTTGGTGAAGACGCTGACAAAATGCGGAATCTTCTGACCACCCTAAGCAACAATGCAAGCATGTTCGGAATGCGGTTCTCACCCTCGAAATGCAAAATGTTGCTTCAAGATTGGGTTTCATCGGCACCTGAACTAGTGATAGGGAGTGAAGTAGTCGAACGTGTAGACCGCTCCACTTATCTTGGGAGTCTCATCAGTGCTGATGGCCTGGTGACTGACGAAATCTCAGCTCGGATACAGAAGGCTCGATTGGCTTTCGCCAACCTGCGTCACTTATGGCACAGGCGAGATATCCGTTCGCTGACCAAAGGACGGGTGTACTGTGCAGCAGTTCGCTCCGTCCTACTATATGGATGCGAAAAATGGCCGGTAAGAGTTGGGGATATTCGTAGGTTACCGGTTTTCGATCATAGATGTCTTCGAAGCATTGCTCGTTTATCTTGGGACTATCGAGTAGGACAATCCTGTTGTTAGGAAACGGATGCTAGGAGAGGATGGCAGGTCAATAGATGAAGTAATGAAACTTCATCAGTTGAGGTAGTTGGGACATGTGTTACTTATGCCTAACCACCGACTGCCTCGACGAGCTATGTTTTGCAGTGTAGGAGTAGATTGGAAGAAAGCCAGCGGAGGCCAAACCAAAACATGGCACAAATGCATGAAGTCACTGACAAGTGGACTGTGTCATGTTGGTAGATGTAGGCTACCTGGTTGGGGTCCGCGAGACGATAGTCACCGATGGTTAGAGACCTTGAATGACATGGCTCAGAATCGTTTGCAATGGCGCAGGTGCATCCACTCTTTGTGTTCTATGAAATTCTAAGCTTCTGTATTCCTCATAATCTCTATCTTTCTCCCTCCCAAATTTATCTTACTGAATTATACTTTTCGAATCATATCTTCTCTCCCTAATCTTCTCCATTACTGCTAATACTTCTATTATTGCTATCACTCTTGGATTTGAATTGACAGTTGCGTTTCTATGCTGATGGGGCATGGCGATCTGAACTGATGTAGTTACGTACGAAGTTCTGCGTTGTATCTGTCTGTCTGTCTCTCTATACATGGATTAAAGTCTGTTCTTCAATCCATATATATAGTAGGTAATGTTGTTAAATTACAAATGACTAGTGCACTTCACTGTTCACCAATATAAATTTGTTCTATTAACTGTATTCTGCCTTTGTTCATTGTACTTTTTTATTCTCTTCAAATTTAGATTATTCAATTATACTTGGAAATAATTCTACAGAAGCTATACTTAATTATGTTAAAAATAATCGTAATTATGAACTATGTCAATCTAAACTACGTGTATTTCGTTATTCGGATTGGTTATTTTGGAAACAAAAATTTATTTATGGCAACAAGCATGGATTGTTAGAATGCATCGTAAAACTGAATTAATGCTTAATAATAATAATAATATTAGTAATGATAACATTCATTCTCATGAGATTGCCAGTATAATAGAAGAGAATGAATCTTATTGCATGGATTCTGATATGAATCAAAATCTATTGCCAATGAAAAACTGTTCAGATGAATCTTCAACTAAACCAAAAACTCTTCCTAATAATTTTGTTCCAAATTCCATTGTTCAGGTGGGCTGTCTTTTTATGTTGATGTATTGTGTTGAGTTTGATTACTATCAGAATGATGAAAAACAACTGGGTACTCATTACAATTGTTTTCGTCCAGTTTAACTAACCTCGTATTTGAGGATAACCATGATACTATGCTAACATGGCCGTGAAGAGTAGATGTTCGTAGGTTACTAGTATTCTATCATAAATGTCTTATATCGTATATCGTCGGACAACCAAGTAAGCAATGCTCTGGTTAGGAAACGAGTACTAGGTAAGAATGGCAGATCAATAGATGAAGTATTGAAACTTCATCAGTTGAGGTGGTTGGGACATGTGTTATGTATGGCTAACCACCGACTGCCTCGACGAGCTATGTTTTGCAGTGTAGGAGTAGATTGGAAGAAAGTTAGGGGCGGCCAGACCAATACATGATAGAAATCCATGAAGTCACTGACAAGTGAAGTGAGTCATGTTGGTAGATTTAGGCTACCTGGTTGGGGTCCGCGAGACGATAGTCACCGATGGTTAGAGACCTTGAACGACATGGCTCAAAATCGTTTGCAATGGCTCAAGTGCATCCATTCGTTGTGCTCTCTCAAATCCTAATCTTCTGGAATTGTCAGCACCTCTAGCTTTGTCTTTCTAATCTTATCTCACTGAATTATATTTTTTGAATAATATCTTCAAACCCTAGTCTTCTTCATTACCCTTAATATCTGTACTATCTTTATCACTATGGGATTTGATTTGACATTTGCCTCTCTGTGCTAATGTGTTATGGCAACCTGTTTTATGCGAAAGTTCATTTAATGAATACTCCTATAATAATGAACTACTCTATATGTCACTTCAATTTCTTTTTAGATATACTGGCCTTCAGCATTGATTCCCAAAGGAAATTCAACAAATACACCTTTATCGGATAATCTTTGTGATACATTAATCACACCAAAGAAATTATCATTTGCTCGTTTGTTACGTATTAGTCTAGAAAAGAATCTTCTTGTTCCACATAATCTTCTCAACGATGTTGCTCATGTTGATCCAAATCCTAATCAAATTCTATTAGATTCTGTTAATCAATTTGGATGTAGTATCATACCAACTTCTAATGGGCATGAATCATCATCACCACCACTCTCCTCCTCCTCCTCAGTTGATTTCATTCCACTTTTTATTCGAATGAAAAATAATGACGCTGCTCTAAGATTACTACACTCTATTGATTGTTCTACAACAATTCATGGTGTAACAGCACGTATTCTTGAAGGCTCAAGTGAACAAGCATACTGTGATAATATTGTCAAGTCTCGAGTGAATGCTAGAGAACGTCATCGTACTTCACAATTAAAAAAACGTCAAAAACAAAATCTTCCAATCCCACTCCTACATCATTCAATAATTTTATACCTCCTAGTAGTAGTAGTAGTAGTAATAAGACTAATAATTCTAAGCATATTATATTCGATGAATAAATTTCCATTTGTATTATTTTGTATATATACTCTATATATATATATATATATATATATATGCTCTGGAATCTATTTTGTTTATGAATAGACTCTAATTTATAAACATATGTACACAGTAATACTTTGTTTTGAAATAAAAAACTGTACAATCAATATACATCGTGTTTATGGACTAGACTTATCAGCTATTGGTCAAATATCAGTATATTAGTTCAGGTTTCAGAACATACGTTGACACTTTTAGTAAATGGTTATATGGTTTAAAGACTGGAATTGGTTATACCTCTGTAGCTTAACTAGTCAATTTTTATTTAATATTAAAACTAACAATGATTTTCTTCATGTTTAAATACATGAGATTTTTCTCTTCAAACAGTCAGTCAGTCAGCTACAATAGAGAACTTCGTAGATACGCATATCAGTTCAAGTTACCATTATCGCTTTAGCACACAGAGATTGAATTGTCAATTTAAATTTCATAGTGGTGAAGGTAGTAGGAGTATTATCGGTAATTGATATGCTTGAAACTATTACCAGTTCACCTTAGTCGATAAACGAGAACGAAGAGAAATGATCCAGTGATATGATAGGCTACTCTAATCAGAGCGTCCAAAGGCCCCACAACTAAGTAGAGGAAGAAGTTTTGACAAGACGTAGAAAGTGTATTCTACAAGCACCCAGGAAATATGAGTTTCAAAAGTATACACAATCGAGTTTATTTATACATGATAGAAACATCCTTGGGAGTGTCATAAAAATAGCATACTAAAATAATGCATCAACCAATAACAGTCAAGGATTTTCCGAGTGATAAGTGTAATCTCAAGGTCAACTGATTAGTCCATGCTCGAAAACACAAAATCCAAAATTAGGACCTTTATCCAATGAGAACTGGGGATCTAACCTCTCAACAATAAGGGAAGAGATTAAGGTTCAAAGATATTATTCAGGAAGTATTGTATCTTGAAATATAACCAGCTATAAAGTACAGTATGATAGACTTGTGATTAAAAGGACTTACTAAATAGGCAATACAACTCAAATTTTCACTTCCTTGTATTGTTGTTCTCTAACTCATAACCAAACAATTCAAAAACACGAATACTGTAAATATATGTTCTGTTACTACTTATGGGAGATGCTTAGTAGATGTGACTTAGATAACCAATTACCGAAATAACAATTTTACAAGAAGCCAAATTTAATTTGCAGTTGTCGTAGGTTTACAAAACTTCCTTGCAATTAGTTCGGAAGTAGAGTATTCACCAACATATAAAGCGTATCACTCTCAAAGTTTACAAAACAATATATTTATGTCGATGTTTGATAGTAAAACTATCGTAGTAAAAATGAATGTTGCTAGTGTTTAATAGAAAACATACTTTTCGTAATATATGTAATCAGTGTGTGAAATTCGGCGAATTTTCACAGTCGAAATACAATCAACTTTCATGATAGGATGAATAAACGACGAAATACCGTAGTTCAGCTCTTCTAGGTTTGTTTAGTAGTCTGTTTGATTATCTTATTAACTTTACTCAAGCGTGTTACCCCTAATGGAGCATAGGCCGCCCACCAGTTTTCTCCAACCAACTCTGTCCTGGGTTTCCATTTCTAGTTCTGTTTGATTATCAGATATGGGTTTTTCTTTCCACATTAGTTGAATAATCACCAACAGATATTCTTTGTTAAACAGGTGATGTCTATCATTTCTAAATAGTCTAGTGGTGTTTGTGAACTACTCATTACTGACATGTCCATACATTCAAATGACATGTCTGCGATAGGAAAAAAATACGGTTCCAGGATTTCACTATCCTAGATAACAAATTTAAGTGATTTGATCGAGGTATTTTCAATAAAAAGTTAGTTTTTATGGATTGATATCATCTGGGAACAAAATCAAAGAATTATAAAACACTGAATAGTTGTTTTATTGTAGCTTAGCTTCACAATACGGAGAACCTGTGGTCACCAAATTTTGTAGTAATTGGCGATCAATATGCTGTAACATCATAAGTATGACCGATGGTAACAGGTTTTCGTAAATTTGAGGGTACGGTATCAGTTTCTTAAATGACTGGTTATTTTATTTCGATATCAATTTGTACTGGTCAAATTAACATAATCTTTTAGATAAATATCACATCATTCCTCCTAACTTCATCGATTATACTAGTGAAGGATTTTGGACAAAACGTTCATCTAAAAACGAGTGTTTCATCATCATCGAAAGAAGGGTTGGTCGAGGAGATAAGAGAATTATCAGGTGTAGAAAGGATTTGATTGTGACCAATTTGGTCTAGTGTGTTTTTATGGGTATGAGGGCGGATATAACTTCGCGTCTGCACACACTGGGGAAGGTTGTTTCTTGAGGAACCTGAAAAGGAAGGTATATTAGCGTTGGTCTTAGACACCTGGGTGCGTGACCGCAGAGTCCAAGAGACAACTGCTTGAGGCCGGTCATGCACGGCCTTTTTATGAAAGGTTTTTTGAGTATTAGCTCCGCTCTTGAAAGCCCTTAATGTAAAACGATCCCTAATAAATTAGACATAAATTAGAAGTTAAAAATAAACTAAATATAATAATTAATCAAGCAGGTTACGTTCAAGTGTTTCTTGTTAAAGAATATTTCTTTCATCCTGATATGACAAACATCTCAGAGATAATTAACGATCATCCTAAACCGGACATAAATAATGGACAGTACAGTTTCTGAATGAGCATAATGCCATGAAATTATTCATCCGCAATCCAATAAGATACGTTTTCAATAATCTAACTCAGTGTTCAACGATCGAGAACGAGTGTTTAGCGATTGTCTGGGTAATAGAAAAATGGAGGCCATACCTGCTAGGTAGACGGTTCCATGTCGAGACTGATCATAAACCCCCGCAGTGCCAGAAGACAGCAAAAGACCCCCGTGGTAAGTTGGCGCAATGTATGATACGTCTGCAGGAGTACGATTTCAGTATCGGCCACGTTCCAGGAAGAGAAAATTTGGTGGCGGACTACTTATCGAGGCCGGAGATGGATGCTGAGCTCCCAATGACAGCATACGCAGTGAATAGCCTTGACGGAGACCCACTAGAACTTGTCCGGCAGCAAAAGGCTGACCCTAACCTTCGAGAGGTGATCAGAGTGATAAAAGAAGGGGCAGATATTGACGAACGGCAGATGAACAATGAGGTATTAATGCTGCTTCGACAAAAGGAGAGACTGAGGATCAGCACATATGGAGCCCTGATCTGGCGAGATGATGATGAAAATTGGGTGGCAGTGATCCCGAAGAACATGCGGCCTAAGATGATACAGAAGTGTCACCAGTTAGCTCATACAGGTATCACATGAACGACTGATCTAGTAAGACACAGTGCATATTGGCCAGGCATGAGAGACGATGTGGCGCAATATTTGTTGACTTGCCAGAGGTGTCAACTAATGAAAAGTAATCGATACATACAGCCGCCATTGCAGTCAATTCCCGTAACTGCAGTTGGTGATCTATGGTCAGCGTATGTGATGGGACCGTTACCGCAGACGGCCAGCGGCAATCAATACCTGGTGGTGATGACAGAACATGCCACACGGTGGGTAGACGATGTACTAATCCCAGATCAGCGGGCAAAAACAGTGACGGAAGTGGTCATCCGGCACATTGTGACATGTCACGAAATACCGAAAACAATATTAACGGATCAGGGTCCCTGTTTTGAAAGTGACGAGTTTAAATCCCGTCTGCAACAGTTCGGTATCAAGAGAATACGAACTACACCATATCATCCACAGACTAACAGGCTTACAGAAAGAAATAACCGTACGGTAAAAGAATGGTTAGCCTCTAAAGGAGGGAATCGGGAGAAGGAATTACAACTAATCTTGCTGGCGCATCGTGCCTCAATACAAGGAACAACCAAGAAATCACCTTTCCTGCTTATGTACGGGAGACATCCGCGACTTCCAATGCACAATAAGACATGGCCGCAACAACAGAAGTGGACGGCAACAAGGTTAAAGAAGGAGAGGAGGGAGGCAGTCAGCAATATAAAGAAGAAACAGATGTCGCACACAACGACAGAACAGCAGAGCAGGCAGTGGAAGCCGTTTAAAGTCGGGAACCTGGTAAAATGTAGAGAACGGAAAGGCACCGTAGCATGGGGACAGGGATCAGGGGAGCTGCTCCCGAAATGGGAAGGACCGGACATGGCTCTGTTTATACGATACGGAGAAGGGACAACCAAAAACGCGTGAATGCTTGTCAACTGTAGAAATGGTTTCAAAGGCAGAATGAATGCGATTCGCAAACGGTATTCAAGAAAACGTGACCACGGCGTTCGGGAAAACTGCGGAAAGAACTAAATAAAAGGGGGGTCGGGTGTGGTGTACGCTATTATGTTCACATGAGTAGTATATGATATCAAATGGAAATCAAGCGTCTGACAGCAAGACATCGAGAAGTAAAGAATTAAACAGAAGGCGATTTGTAGGTAACGTAAAGTGAACTGACGTCCGAACAGTCTAAATGAAAGAACACTGAAATCTGAAACAAATAAGGATTTGTCTGCAAATGATGATTCACGGGATGTTTTTGTACATATGCTTAACAACTCTGTAATTTTGCTTAAATTTATATGTTGATGGCCTCATCTGAGTTCTCGAGCACAACAATACTTCTACTGCATCTACTACTATGGGATTTGAACTGACCATCGCATCTCTATGCTAATGTGGTATGGCAACTTGAACTGATGTGCGCCCGTACGTATGAAGTTCTACGTTACTGTTGATTGATTGACTGATTGATAAATATTCAAAAATAAAGTATTTGCTTAAATGTTCATAATCATTCTAGAGATAATATGGTTGACTATTGAACTAAATATAAATCTCATTAAAAATAAGGGATAATTTTAAAAACTTTTGACGATCAATTCATTCTGAATA